GTTTTGGTGATTTCAAATGTCAACATTGGCTACCAGAAATCGCTTACCCCACCTTTATGAAAAACACTTTTTGACATTTGAGTAGATTTCCTCTTGTAGCTTCACAATTTTTTCCATCCTCTGTCAATATATTTAGTGTTTTAATACAACCTGATACAAAAGCTTGTGCTTTCAGTTTTGTTTTTTTTTGCACACTGATAACCTGCATTTGAAGTAGTTTATGGCACACACATCTGGCACATCAGCGTCATTTTGTTGGGTGCACAATATAGTACCCGCCCTTGAGAAGCAGTGGGGCTGTTTTAGTAATCGCTGTCGCAAGGTCAGTTATGTCCATCTGAAAAAATGAAAAGGACTAGGCCTAGATGCAAAAGACTTAATGGAACTTGGCATCTTTAAATTCACCCCCTTTAAAGCACCATTGCTGCAGCAATATACATGTATATGTAATGTCTTTGGCTGTTGCACTGCACACTGTTTTTGTATAAATATATATTTGGAAGCAAGTATGTGGACTTTTTGTGCTTTTATGTTTTTTTTGCAACGTATAAACTTGCAGTAACACACTGACGTAGTGAGCGATGTATGTGGTTTCAAAATCATAGACCCTTCCCTCCAATCACAAGTGATCACAAGAGACACATTTGAGATGCATGTTACTACAAGGTGTAAACAGCAATGTGTCTCAGCTGACTACTTGTGATCTTATCACGGAATCACAGAGACAGATCTTAAAAGCAGGTGTAAACGGGCCCTTGATGCTCATAGCTTAGTCTGACTCTCTTGAGCAATGGGATGCAAATGCATTTACGATGAAGTTTAATCTCAGGACCAATGGATGTCTGAGAACTCAGAAAGACCATTCCATTAATAGGCGCGGCGTACCACTTCGGGAGTTATTTCTCTAATAATTTTAACGGCCAGGAGTCACAACCACACATCAAGACATTGTTCAGATGATTTGTTTCAAGACATTTCCTTCTTTCTTTCCATTGCAAATTCCAAAACGTCATTTTTGAGCTAATAACAGAGGATTGAGCCATTGATATGCAGGCTAATGCAGTTATTAATGCAGTCTAATGCAGAGATTAAGCGCATGTGAATACCTTCGTCTGTGCGTCTCTCAGTGTTCAGCAGCAGCATCTACTAATAGCGAATCTTTAAGTTAAACTGCTTCAAACTGAGAAATGTAATGTAGCTTTTCAGCTGCGAAACTATTTTACTGATAAATTCACAGGGCGGCGTTGACAAGAAGTTTCTGTCCGCGTGTGTGCGCGAGTGCGTGTGTGCGCGTCTGTGAGAGAGAACCGGAGCAAGCGTGATATGTACGTGATTTTCGGTACATAAAAAAGGTGGAAGACATGGCAATAGTTTGTCATTTTTTTACCCTATTGTTTGTTATATTTATTTGCTGAATGTCTTCTGAGGATTTGGTTCTTTTATTGTTGTAGATAGCCCATAGTATAACAAAGAGCGTGCAGCTCGCTTATAGACAGACGCGATGCGGTGAATTGAAGACATTTGCGTATTTGGAGAGAGAGAGCGCGCGCGCGCGATGATTCACTCACGCTGTTTGTGAAATTACGTCTCACACAAGGTTTTCAAATTACTTTATACGTTTTTAATTAAGAAATATGAAGGTGATTACCTCACCTTCAGCATTATAATGATTTCACCCACCCAC